CACCATCACCACCCATGCCTGCAGGCCAGGTTGGCTGGAGTTTACTGAAAACAAACTTCAAAGCCATAGCAGTGGAGAAGCCCTGCAGGCAGCTTTTCCCCAAACCCTCCTCCCTGCAGCCTCTTGGGGAGGGAGACCTGGGTTCTCCTACTTCTTTCCTCTGGCTGCCTTGGGCCTCTGCCTGGCAGTCATGCCTCGGGGCACTGATCCTTGCCTTGTAGAAAGCAGCCCAGGCGATGTTCGTGGCCAGATGGGCACTGGAAGGACCCTGCCCTCTTTCTCCACCTTCTCCTTTCCCGCCACACGAAAGGCCTCTGCTGGGAAACCTTCTGGGCTCCACTCCAGCTTCGGGAAAATCCACACTTCTAAGGCAGGCATTGCTGCTCCTGTGGCTAGCCCAGGAACCCTCCACTGCTAGGAAGAGTGGGGTTTGGTGCGTGGGGACTTTCCTCAAAACGAACTTCTAAAAATTGTGGTAGCTTTTCTGATTATAAAAGTAATACCTTCTTATTGTAAAATATTCATGCTCTATAGAAATGTGAAAAGTAAAAGTTTCCTGTAATCTTACTCCTCTGCCCCCCTTGAAGTTCGGGGTATATCCTCCCAGACCTTTTTCTCAACATATATGAACTGTACTTAGAGATACACGCTTCCGCACACACCCTCAAGGGATGACGCAATGCAGTTGTTTTAAAGCGGGGACATTTGACTTTTTGACTAAGAAATAAATAAACTTTCAGTCTTTAAAATTGCCAAGTAGTGTAATGGATAAAGGCCCCCCTGAGCCAGTACTTTGTTCCGTTTTTGACACCCTCCTCCCCGCTCATCCCTGTGACAAACTGGCCTGCTCCAGTGTCTCCCTTCATGCGAGGACCTAAACATTACATCGCATTGAAGAAGGTCAGGGTGCCAGTGTGAGGGTCACTTTCCAATCCAGCTAAGGGCCCCCCACTTCCTCAGAGAGAAGAGGTGCACTCACTTAGCCCTCCTCTCTCTCCTCAGGTACTACCATGGCATGGAATATGAGATGGACCTCGCCCCCCTTGAAAGTCCCACGCACCTCATGAAATTCCTGACAGAGAACGTGTCTGGAACCCCAGAGTACACAGATGTGCCCAAGAAGAATAACCTGATGAGCCTGGAGGGGTCCATGCCCTCCCCGGGCAAGGCAGCGCCCCTCCCTGCAGGCCCCGGCAAGCTGGAAGCTGGCTCTGTGGACAGCTACCTGCTGCCCACCAGCGATGTGTACGATAACGGCTCCCTCACCTCCTTGTTTGAGAACATTCATGGGGTACCACCCACACAGCGCTGGCAGCCAGACAGCACCTTCAAAGATGACCCGCAGGAGGTGAGGGTCCACCCCCATTCCTCTCATAGCATCCCCAGATATGTGCATGCATGTGCAGAAGGAGAAAAGACAGGGAGGAGGTCAGGGCTTTGGAATTCTTAGCAGACAATCCTAGCGCTGAGGCAGGGCTGCCATGTACTGTTGTCCAGGTTGTGCACTGCACAACCTTCGTAGCTGTATGCGCCAACCCTAGGCTGAGGCCCCCCCGCAGCCTAAAACATGTTTATTTATTCTCTTTGGATTGTGTTTCTCTGCAGTCGCTGCTCTTTTCAGATATCCTGAAAACGTCCCCGGAACCTCCATGTTCAGAGGACTATCCCAGCCCCAAGAGGTAACTCAGCCCCCCTGTGAACCCTTGGCCACCTGGGCAGTGGGCAGGGGCCTGCAGACAGAGACTCACACTGTCCCTAGAGCAGGCATAATCAATGAATGAAAAGAGGGGAATATACAAAGAATATATGCAAAGAAAGGCACAAAAAGAATGATTTCCACATCCCTTTCCAGGGCTGTGGTGGGGAGCTCAGATCGCAGAACCCTGTTAGAAAACTAAGGTTCTGTTGCCCCCAGGCACCCCTATGGCTTTGTCACCCCTCAGAGGCCTCTCTAGTTACCATTATTTATTATTCAGCAGGATTGTTGCTCAACAAAGCCATTAAATAGAACCCGAAAATGTGGAAACTGAGGCCCAGGGAAATAAGTAGAGTGATTTACCAAGGTCATAGAGCATGTCCACAGCAGAGACTCAGGCTTTCTGTCCCACTGCCCTTTGGGGTACTTTTCGCTGGGAGCACAGCCTCACCGTCCTCTCTCTCCTCCCCGCAAGTGACTTTGAGTACACCTTGGGCTCCCCCAAAGCCATCCACATCAAGTCGGGCGAGTCACCCATGGCCTACCTCAACAAGGGCCAGTTCTACCCTGTCACCCTGCGGACCCCAGCCGGCGGCAAAGGCCTTGCCTTGTCCTCCAACAAAGTCAAGGTGCGTTGGCCCTGGAGCAGCTTGGGAAGTGGGTGGGATGGTCGGGCAGCCCCGCCTGCCAGGGGCTCAGGGAGAGGGTGTTGTTGAATAACTGACCATTGCCACGGAGCGGGGAAAGCTGAGGCAAAAGGGCAGGGAAGGGACCCAGGCAGTTGGGGGCCTTTCCCAAGGCTGGGGTCACAGACACCACTGTGCTTGCTTACAGAGCGTGGTGATGGTTGTCTTCGACAATGAGAAGGTCCCAGTCGAGCAGCTGCGGTTCTGGAAGCACTGGCATTCCCGGCAACCCACTGCCAAGCAGCGAGTCATCGATGTGGGTGAGAGCCCGCCCGAGCCCCCCTCTCAGTTTCTCTCTATCTATCATCTCTATCTCTATCTCTCTAGCACGCGCGCGCGCGCGCGCGCACACACACACACACCCCAATCAGGCCTTTCTTGCTGTACCCCTCTTCCCCAGCCCCCTCTGACCTCTGCAGGACTTAGTTCTGACCCCAGCTGCCTGCCTGGCCCCTGTCTCCAGGTCAAATACTATGGGGTTTGCAAGGATTTGCATTTGTTATCTGGAAGCAATAGCCCCTTTTCTGTGTTGCTTTGGGATAAACAGGCCTTGGGGGGTCCCGGCTGTGTCAGATAAATTGGCTCCTGGGATACTGGCGGCTTGTCCCCTTCAGGGGGCTTAACGGACTGAGACATAGATGCATAAGATAACAGTGCAGGCTATTGGTAATTTGGAAGGCTTAAGCCATAGCACTGGCCAGTTCCTCTTTGGGAGTTGGCACTCAGGGGCTCTGTCAGTAGGTAGGGGGCAGGGAGAAGGTCCTCAGTGTGTGCCACCTTGTCCCTCTCCCAAGCCCCAAGATGGGTGGGAGGCACAGACCACGCTCAGGTCTCCAGGTTCTGGCTCCATCACTCTTTCTGGCGTGTGGCCTGTGTCACCTCGCCTTTCTGAGCCTCGGTTTCTTCTATTGTCAAGTGGAATGAGGTCCGCAGCCCTGCCTGCCTAGGGTGCTATTTCTGCCTTGGAGCAATGTATCCTGGAGAATATGATACAACTAGGTCCAATCAGTGACTTATCTGAGAGGCCAGAGAGCAGAGTGGTCAGGCGCCTGGGTCCAGGAGCCGGGCGATGCTGAGCTCCACCTCTTGCTCTGCCTTTTATTAGCTGTGTGACCCTGGGTAAGGGCCCAAACTTCTCTGAGTTTCGTTTTCCTCATGTGTAAGCTGAATATTCACAGCATCATTGTTTGTGAGGACTAAATAAGGGCTTGCCATATTGTACGTGTTCCTTAATGGTAGTAGTACAACCATTTGTTCAATATCAGTAGTTAGGTATTAGTCTAGTAGTTTAGAATTAGTAGTACTGGTACCACTACTTTTTATTACTGCTATTACCATCAACCACTATGACTGCTATTACTAATACTACCGCTTTATCTGGGAGATCTCCTAACTCACAATCCCAATGAAAAGTATCATCTCCACCCCAAAATGATGAAGGCCCTGGTCAAGTGGGCAAGGTTAGAGATTCGCTCTGGGTTTGGGGGAGATCTGCTTCCTCAGTTTTCCCACCTGTAACTCAGGGCACAATAACCAGTTTCCTCCCTGGATTGAAACGTGGTTCTTGGGGAAAAGGATACAAGTCCCTGCCAAGAAAGGGGCCGAGCTCCTAAATGCCTCCTCCCCACGGTGTCCCCAAATCTCTTCCGTCCTGACGCTCCTCTGGTCTCCTGTGGTTTCAGCCGACTGCAAAGAAAACTTCAACACCGTGCAACACATTGAGGAGGTGGCCTATAATGCACTGTCTTTCGTATGGAATGTCAACGAGGAGGCCAAGGTCAGTGCTGGGGGTATGGCCAGGATGGGGCGGGGCCACCCAAAAGGGCTGGCCTGCACCTACGGGTGTGGCAGCTGCTCTGGTGAGGGCACCAATGGAGGAGGCAGGATAGAGAGTGGTGGAGAAGCACAGGCTCTGAAGCCGGAAACACTGGGCTCACATCCTAGCTCTATGACCTTGGACCGGTACCCTGGCTGTACAGTTGTGATGTAATCATAGCACCAACTGTTGAGTTGATGTGAGGATCAGGTGAGATAAGAAAAAGGTAGCACACAGCCTGGCACATAAGTGGTGGCTGTTGTTATTAACCCAACCCACCCGTTTACCAGATAGGAAAACTGAGCCTTGTGTCAGGTCACACAGCAAGCCGCTGCTGACGCCAGGTTTCCTGACCTGCAGGCCATTGCAGAGTGTTGCAGGAGAAATGCTTTGGGGTCTGGTAGATGAGGGCTGAAATTCCAGTTGCCTCATTTCTTGAGCCCATAGGAAGGGAACAATAATCTGCCTCTGAGGGTTATGGTGAGGATGCCACGAGATCATGCATGTCTAAGAGATGGGCACAGTGCCAGACCCATTGGGGAGGTCTGAGAAATGGAGCCTCTGATTTTTTTCATACTAGCAATTAAGCTATTTAGTGCTTAAGGCCAGCCTTAAACTTGCTGTGTGCTTCTGGGCCTCTCTGTGTCTCGATTTTCTGTTGGGAGAGCTGGCATCATGGAAAGGGCATTAGCCTGAGAAGTAGGCGCTAGGTGACCTTGGACCTGTCCCTTCACCTCCCTGGGCCAGGTTGACCCCATCAGACCAGGGTTGGGTTCTGTTTATGGCAAGGCCAAGTCTGGCAGGACAGGCTGGGAAGCTAATCCCTGTCTCCCTGCCTGCCTCATGGGGTGGTCCAGGGGGCCTGGAGAAAATCGAGGTGAGGGGCTCTGAAAACACAAAGGGAGGGATTATTATTATTCAAACAGATGCCAGGGGCTGAAGGAGGAGCTGGGGCTTCCAGTTCAGGGAGGTGGGGAAAGAGTTTCGTGGGAAGGGAGAGGTGGGTTTCGGTTGGGATTTTCTCACAGCCTTTTAAGCCCCCAGGCTTGGGTCTTTCTCAGGTGTGAGCTGGGTCTGTGCAGCATTAGGGCTGAGCTGGCTGAGGGGGAGGTATGTCTGGCATGTACTGGGGCCCCCACCGCCAGCTGGGAAGGTAGGGGGTCTGCTAAGGCATCACACTCCACCCCCACTATTCAGGTCAGGATCATTTCCAAGGGAAATGTCCCAAAGAACAGGGGCCGGTCTGGAGTGGAATCTGGTCCTGGCACCCCATGGAGGAGTCAGCAGGTAGACAGTTACCAGATGAGCTTGCCAGGGAATGCCCAGCTAAGACTGTCCTCAGGCTGCCCTTAGTCGAGCATAAGCTGTGGGCTGAAACTCTAGTTGCTTTACTCAAAACAGCCGTCACTGCATGCCAAGCCCACGAGGGGATCCATGTACCGTCACAGCCACACGCCATAGGTTTAATTGTCCCCATTTTGCAGATAAGGAAACTGAGGTCTCCGTGAGGTGAAAGCATTTGTCCAAAGCCACATGGCTTGTGAATAGCAGAGCCTAGCTTCCCACCCCAGGTCTAGGTGGCCCCATGATCAGGCTAATTCCACTATGCCACCCTGCCTGACTCCCTGTGGAGATGTCAGCAAGTCATATCCCTGTTCTGAGCTTCCATTTCCTTGGCTGGCCCAGCAATGGCTGGAGCTGGTGGTTGGGGTGCAGAGGGGCAGTGTGTCACCCTCTGTGGCCAAAGCCCAAGCCCAGCAGGAAAGTGGTCTTCGGAAGCTGGGGTGGGGGAGGTGGGGGGATGGCCTTTCTCTACCTCCTTGCTCTGAGTTGCAGAAAAATGAAACTCTGGACCCTTAATCTCCACCCAGGGCCTTGATCCTTTGGGTTGCCCTTGGCAATCTAGTGGGAGCTGCATCATCTACTGGTGAAGACCTGGGCTCAAACCCCGGCTCCCCCACACATTCCCTGTGTCACCTTGGGGCATCTGCACCACCTCTCTGAGCATCAGTTTCCTTTTCCGTAAAAGAGAGGCGATGTCTGCCTTCCGGGGCGGTGTGAGGATTAAGGGCATTCACCAGGCACACAGTAGGCTCCATAAACAGGTCACTGTGGCACAGCAGGCCTGGAGACCTGGGCAGGCTGTTTATTCATCTCCCCCGTCTGTCCTCAGGTCTTCATTGGTGTCAACTGCCTCAGCACAGACTTCTCCTCACAAAAGGGGGTGAAAGGCGTCCCCCTGAACCTGCAGATTGACACCTATGATTGTGGCTCAGGCACCGAGCGCCTGGTGCACCGTGCTGTCTGCCAGATAAAGATCTTCTGTGACAAGGTGACAGACAGACAGACAGACCCTCTGCTGGGCCTGGGGAGGGTGGAAGTCCAGCCCCCCCCCCCGCATTCTTACCAGCCACTCTGGGTGTGTCTGTCTCTCTCTGTACCTGCTCTCTATTCTGTCTCTCTCTGTTTCTGTGTGCTTGTAATGTGTCTATCTTGATCTTGCTATGTGTATCCTCCTCTGTGTCTCTGCATTCCTATCTCATCGCTTTCTCTTTCTGAAGACCTCTATAAATACCTCTCCGTGTCTTGCTTTTTTCCGTTTCTTTTTCTTCTCTTTATCTCCTTCTGACTCCATTTCTTCTCTCTCATCCTCTTCTCTTCTCTTCTCTTCTCTTCTCTTCTCTTCTCTTCTCTTCTCTTCTCTTCTCTTCTCTTCGCTTCTCTTCGCTTCGCTTCGCTTCGCTTCGCTTCGCTTCTCTTTTCTCTCTCTATCTCTCCTGACCTCAGGCTGGGCTGTCCAGGTGCTGGTACCTCCCCATTTCCTGGTCTCACTCTGGGAAGAGAGCAGCACCAGAAATCTGGCCCATATTTAAGATGCAAAGTGGCCAGCCCCTCCCAAGACCCTTGGTGACCCCCTTCTCATTCTACCTTGAAGGGAGCCGAGAGGAAGATGCGAGATGATGAGCGGAAGCAGTTCCGGAGGAAGGTCAAGGGCCCCGACTCCAGCAACAGTGGTCAGTTGGGCTGGGTCACGGACTGGACTGGGCTGGGTTAGGGTGGGTGGAAAAAGAAGACTAGAGCGCAGAGGTTGGTGGCGTGAATAAAGGGACCTCAGGTCACAATGCCTCCCTTTTCCCTTCAGGCATCAAGGGCTGCCTGCTGTCTGGCTTCAGGGGCAATGAGACCACCTACCTGCGGCCCGAGGCTGACCTGGAGACCCCGCCAGTGCTGTTTGTTCCCAACGTGCACTTCTCAGGCCTGCAGCGTCCTGGAGGGGTGAGGGCCTTGGGCCGACGGAGAGTCTTGGCAGCTGGGAGGGGCTGCCTTAGCCCAGACCTGTGGGGAGCAAGCTGCCCCTCAGCCAATCCAGGCCCATTTAGATGTTTATAGGTCATTATATATACATGGTTGTCGAAAAAGTCATGATGCATTTTTGCAAAGAAAACCATACAAAAATACGTCATGACTTTTATGACAAATTATATATATATATATATATATATATATATATATATATAGAGAGAGAGAGAGAGAGAGAGAGAGAACATCAAAATGAAAATACCTTTATTGAATCCCAGGGTATTTAAAAATGTATATATATATGGTCACATAACTTCAGTGAACCTTTTCTACTCAAGAAAAAAATTGTTAATGAGGAAATGGACTTTATAGTGATCAAAATCACTATAAGGAGGTTTCTAGTATCTGAGCCCCGGATTAGACTGCAGCCTCCTCAAAGCTAGGTGGATAACGATGGTCACGGCAACACGTGTGAGCTCTCCCTGTGCAGCTGGCTCTGGTCGCAGTGCTTTCCACTCATCATCTCTTCTGACCTTCACGACATCCCTAGGAACTCGGTACTATTATTCTCTCTGCATTTGTGGGGTAGACACGGAGGCACAGATGCCTCCCCAAATCACAGGAAGTGGCAGAGCCAGACCCAGGCAACCTGTCTTCAGAAACGGAGCCCTTTCCCACTAGCTACTCCCCCTCTCAAGCCGGGAGCCATTTCCTGAGCACCTTGAACGCGCCAGGAGCGCTGGGCCCTTTGCTGCACTGTATCCGTTCCCCTCGCAGCCATCCTTTGAGGCAGAGACTCGCTATCCCTATTTTCCCGACAAGGTCACATAACAAGTCAATGGCAGAATCAAGATCCCAGAGCTTCCATATTAAACAATTGGATGATTTCCTTCCATTGAGATCATAGCTCGCCACTGAGTGGGTGGAAAGGTTTGCAGAAACAGCCTTTGGTGTACAAGATAGAGGATGGAGCTAGAAGAGCAGCCAATACTGATGTCACCCTTGGCACATGTTTAAAGCCCTTCCTATGTCAGCTGTCTTCCCTTCGCTGCCCCAGAAGCACAGCAGGTTGCATTAACCCATTCTTTCTCCCCAACCAGAGGCTCCAAGTTGGGAGATGACCATTCGGGATTAAGGTCCCTGTGGCCAGGTTGACAGCTAATGTGTGTGTGTGTGTGTGGGGGGCGGTGGCAGAGGGATGACCAGTCTTTCCACATGAGAGCAATGGAGGGGGACACCCCGGGAAGCGGAGAGAGCAGGAACCTGAGTCTGGAGTCTGGCTTCTGTCTGGCTTCTGCTGGGTGTGTTACCCCAGTGGCTCTCAGCCCTCTCTGGGCCTCAATGTCTTATCTCCTGGAACTGATGATGACTGTACCAGACAGCAAGTGACAGGCACACAGGAGGGTCAAAAAGAGTGCCTCTTCCCCTCACCTCCTCTGCCTCAGCTCTGACACCTCGTCCCCAGCTGCAGGACAGTGTGCAGTGCCAGCCCTTTTGGGCATACTGGAGCTCAGGTGGGACTCGCTGATCCCACCATTTCTCTAGCGCCTCCTGTGTGTCCCTGAGTCCCTAACTCACCCAGGTCAGGCAGGATGCTTCCTTTCTACTCAAGACCTCAGCTCACTTTAAGGGTTCTCATCTGAGCAGAACAGGCTGAAAGGCATTAGAACAGTACCCCCCACACACCCTTTCACCAAAGGTTGTCCCTCCCAGAAAGCCTCCAGCAGCTGAGGGCTCTCTCATCTTCCAGCATGTGATAGAAAATGTTTTTTCTCTTCATTGCAGGCAGTGCCCTCGGTGGGACACAGTAGCTCCAACAGGTACGGAGAGAAGCAGCCCAGGGCCTCACCACCCTGCCTGTCCCCCCTTCACTACGTGCCCTTCCCTCCGCTGTCCCCCAAGCTGAAGGCTGGGCCCAGAGAAAGCAGCCTGAGACTCTACCCCCAACCCCCAAGCTCGATTCATGCTCCTTTCTCACTGAAACTGCCTGGGTTTTTATGGGTTTGTTTTATGTGAAAAGCTGGCGAATCTCTGGCGAGACACCTGCTTGTAAAAAGGGAAAGACAAAGGCTTGGAGATGGTGGTGCAGATTTGGGGAGTGCAGAAGGGAAGCTGGAGGACTTGGGGGATCAGAGCTCCTCCTCTCCTTCCCCCCAATACACACTCCCAGACGCCAAGAGGCATGGGAGAGGGTCAAGGGCCCCTTGGCCCTTCCGTCTAGAAAACTGCCTCTCTCAGCCACAGTCCCTTCCCTTATTCAGTGTCAGCCTAGAAATCTGTCAGATGAGGAAAATGCCCTCATGGGGATGAGGCAGCTAGGAGAGGGCAGAGTTTCAATGGAATCTTCGTAAGTGGGAGAGCACTTTATGAAGATCCTTTGTTGTTGTTATCAGGCTCTTCCTTACAAACAAGAGATACTTTTCATAAGGTGCTTTCACACCAAATTATGTCATGTATCCCCTCACAGCAGCCCCAGCTAGTCAGGCCAACAGGGGTTATTGCTCTACTTATGGATGAGGAAACTGAGGCTTAGAGAAGTGAAGCGACTTACCCATGGTCCCAGCTATGAAGTAGCAGAGGCAAGCTGGAACCTTAGTGTGTCTCACTCCAAATCCGACAACCCTCCCTCCTAGCCACTGACTCACATCAGTGAAAGACTTGGTTCTTTCAAAGAAGAATAATGTTGATAAAACAATAGCCCACATTTATCGAGGCCCTACTGCATGTCACACACTGTTCTAAAAGCAGCATGTGTTCTCTCTTTCAGCCTCACAACTTTATGAAGTATTGGTGTTATTACTTTGTCACCCCATTTTATAGATGGGGACCCCAAGAGGCTAGGAGACTCACTCCAAGTCACCCAGCTAGTGAGTGACAGGGCTCGGATTTGAACCCGGGCAGTCCAACTCCAGAACATGCAACTCTAACTGCTTTCTCACTGCTTTGTGCCTATTCTCATGGGGTCTTCTTCACCTCTGGGGCCCCTGGATCCTTTGGACTCTGAGCTTCCCCTGGGTTCCTGATGAGTCCCTCTCTGCCGTCCCCACAGGCTGCCTCTGAAACGCACCTGCTTGCCCTTCGCTGATGAGTTCGAGCCTCTGCCCTCCAAACAGGCCAAGGAAGACGACCTTCAGAGAGGTAGCCTCCCACCCGGCTTGTTGTCCGGGCCCACCCCCAGCCCCCAGCCCTTCCATAAGGCCTTTCCCAAAGCCTCAAACACCGGTCCTGGCCCAGGCAGCCCAGGCAGCACCCACCCCAGTGGAGAGGATACAAGACGCTGCTCTATGCCTCAGAGCTGGGGTTGGGCCAAGACTTGAGAACGGGGGTGGGAGTAAAGAGGGTACCCAGGGTACCCAGAGAGTCATGGAGCCGGTTGGGCATCCTGAAGTGGCTGGTAAAGGCAATAGGCTGGTTATGTTAGGCAAGTCCCCTCACTTTCTCTGATGGGGGTAGGAGCGGGGTGGGGTTTCCATAGCTGGCTTTCTGGCTTGGACACTCTAAATCTGTGACTTACTGGGAGAGATGGACATACCCAAACCTCTGGGCCTGTAGCTGACCATCAGGGAAACACTGACCAGCAGCTAAGATCCAAAGCTTTCAGCAACCTTGACATGAGCCTTGCCCTCCACGTGGTATTTCCAAATATCATGTCATTAATTCCCACAGCAACTCTGTGAAATGGGGTGGGGCCGCCTCCATTTTCCATGTGGATAATATGAGGCCAAGTGATGTTAACATAGCTTCCAGATCACCCAGCTGGCAGGTGGGAGAGCGGGGATTCACACCTACCAAGTTCAGCGCAGTCTGAGCAAGTGCTTGGGGCCCACAGAGCCATAGAGTGTTTCCCAGCCGGGCACAGAGATCTTCGGTAAGGGTTGGCCCTTTCTGCAGAGATCAATCTTAGGTTAAAAGTAATACTTTTTAAGATTCCCCCATCCCCTGAGATATTCCCAGCCTCGTTTATCCTCCTTGTAGCACTAAAATTCACCCTTTGCTTCTCAGTTCTGTTGTACGTGCGGAGGGAGACGGAGGAGGTGTTTGACGCCCTCATGTTGAAGACCCCGGACCTGAAGGGGCTGAGGAATGCGGTAAGGGGCCTTGAGGACCCCGCCTTACACTAGGCGAACCCCCGCTCTTATGCTCCTGGGCCCACCATTCTTCACTCTTCGCCACACAGTTCTGATTTCCCACAGGAAAGCTCTGGGAAGGAGTATACTGGAACCTTGATGTCATGGTGGCCCACCTGTCCAACCCCATGGAGAAAGGGGAGGGGGGTGCTGTGGGCTGGCTGGTGGGGGTGTGCCTCTGTGATGTTATCTCCCAGCCAGAACCCTGGCTCCACCCTGAGAGTCGCATACACCATAAATCCTCCTTAATCTGATGGCTGCTGTCTGACAGGCCAGAGCTTTTTGTTGGCTTTGCAAACCTGTTTCTATTTTAATGGGAATGAAACCCAAAAAGGCCAGGCCCTAGAGATACTCTTTTTTTCTTTCTCAGGGGGCCTCATTTCTGTAGCTTATAGTTGGCTGGGAGGATGCTGGCCGGGGAGGCTGAAGGTAGTGTCTGGGCGAGGAGTCCTCCCCCAACTCCTCAAACCACCTGAGAGCCAGTGAAACAGCCCGGAACAAAACCCACAGCAGCTTTGTGGCTCAACTAAAAGCTTCGCAAACACAGCCTCACCAGGGCTGCCTGTGCTTAAAGGCCAAACCAATCAGAAAAGCCAGATAGTTCCAAGACTTTGGGCTGGGGAAGGGGAAAATAAATCATATCCTAACATTATCTCCTTTTTGAAGACCCACTGTGTGCCGGGCATTTTGTCAGGCAGGCTGCATTTGCCAGCTCACCCTATTCTCTTAACATCCCTGAAAAGTGGGTACTATGATTATCTCCTCCTCATTTCCCACGAGGAAACAGCCTCCCAGAGGTCGGGTGACTTGCCAAAGTTACTAGGAGTGACAGAGCTGGGATTCCAGCCCAAGTTCTCTCCACTCTGCTATGCATTCCTGTTCCCTTTACATATCATCAGCCCTGCTTGGCACCAGCCCCAGGAAGTTGGGCTCCCAGAAGGCCATTAATATCATTTGAATACAGACTCAGAATCTTTGGGTTGGATACTACCTTAAAGGGTCAGTTCCCCATGTGGTGCTTGAGCTCTCTTCCCAGTAGCTCTTCCAAGGGGGTACCCACTCCTGACTTGTATACTTCCAGGGATGGAGAGCTCATTACCTAAGGGGGTAGCCTATGCTCTCCTTGTGCAACTTATAGTTAGAAAGTTCCTGTGGTTTTGGTGAAATTGACATGAGATTTTCCCGGTAGCTTCCTGTCACATCACCATTAAGGTAAATAAGAATTTTTCTCGCCTAGAGGGATCTCTGTCAAAGCAGAGAATAACTGCGGAGCTGAACTTGATCTTGGTCCTAAAAGGCTCAGTAAGGACAACCTCAGCCTGAAGCCCTTGACCTGAGGTTTGCTGCTGCTTCAAGGCAATCAGTAATAAACGAAACCACAACATTTGATGGGGCTGTCACCAAGGGCCAGGCGCTGGGCTGGGCCCTTTACATAATCATCTCAATTCATGTGCAGAACCACCTGTGTGTCCATCCCATTATTATGCCCATTTTACAAAGGTGGCAACTGAGGCTCAGCAAAGTAAGGTGACTTATTCCAAGTTCTGCAACTCTAGGTGTTGGAACTGGACCCAGACCAGTTCTGTCTGCCCCAGAGGCAACTTCAGGGGTCCCGGGGAGAAATGGCTGCCTCTGGCTGTCTGAGTGCAAGCAGATGGCTCACAGGCCTCGGAGCTGCACTTTGCTCAACTGTAGAATTAGCTCCAGCATTCTGGGATGTGATGGGGGCAGGAAACTGGCTTCTAGGTGAGGCCTTGATCACGTGCCTTATCTTCTTCAAGTTCAGCATCCACACCCATTGAATTTGGTGAATTTCTGCTAGAAGAGGGAAGTGTTTGGGGGACACACACACACACACACACACACACACACACACCACTGCTCCACTTCTAAGGTAATAACAATGGCCATTTATTGAGTATTGACCATTTACTTGGTACATTGCAGAAACTGTCCTAAGCATTTCATGTGGACCAGTTCATTTCATTGTTCCAGTTCATTTCATTGTTCCAGTTCATTTCATTGTCACCGTCTCCATGCGTAGTTTGCACAGTCGGCCGGCTGGAGAAGAGGGAGCCCTCAGCCCTGGAACAGTCCAAATGCCTGATGATGGGGGGGGGGAGGTGGTGATGCCCGCTGGGACATTTTACAGCCACTAAACATGCTGTTTGTCAAGAGTCTGTGGTGATGTCGGAAGGCTTATAACATACAATGATAAGTAAAACGATGTGACATATAAAAATATCTATACATGTGGCTGAATGACAGGAAGGACTCCACCCAGATGGTACTGGTGTTTATCTCTGGGAAACAGGATTATGGGTGACTGTCCTTTTCTTCTCTGATAGTACTCAGATAGACATTACTTTTATAATCAGGAAATTAATAGCCATGGTAGGAAAGACTGGTATATACATCCAGTTTGGCGGCAGACAATGAATCGCCTGCTGTTCTTTCTCTTCCAGATCTCTGAGAAGTATGGGTTGCCTGAAGAGAACATTTACAAAGTCTACAAGAAATGCAAGCGGGGGTAAGTGCCCAGTGCAGCCCTGTCTCCCCATTCCCCCGACTCTGCCCCTTTCCCTTGAAAATGTTGGCTCAGGGAGCTCCCAGCAGGTATGCTTTGCTTGCTGCTCAGCGCTGAGCTGTGTTTGTACTTTGGCTTCATGGAGAGGATGAGGGGATGGGGAGCCATGTGGAGAGCCCCCCCGGTCAGGCCAAGGCCACGTACAGAGAGCAGACATTGATCACTGTTGGGAAGGAAAGGAGTGGGAGACAGGGGGGAGTGCAGGGCCATGTGTCAGAAGACCCAGCTTCAAGTCCCAAGTCCACTGGGTAACCAAGTTATTTGATTATCATATTGATGATCGTGACTATCATTCACTTGACCACCTACTGTGTGTCATATACTGTGCTAAGCATATCTCAATTAGCCCTCACAGCCACACTGAAGTAGATACCATTACCTACACTTCACAGATAGGGAAACTGAGGCTCCAAAGTGATAAACAACATTCAGGGGCAGGAGCAGCGGAGCAAAGGATCTGAGGCAGAAGGGCCCAGTAGCACGGCTGCCTGCTGAGTCAGGGGCCCAGAAGGCCGTGGCTGGCCATGCATCTGGCCAGGGAGCTGTGCTGGGGCGTGGTTTTGAGGGAGTCCCACCAGGGATGCGCCACAGGTCCCTTCCACCTTCAGGTCTGTGTATAGCAGGGGGAGGAGTAAAGGTTTACCCTCTGAGGGCACAGCAGTGCCTGCCACCTACCACGAGCTCCTGGGGATTTGTGCTAAGGACCACAGCACCCTTTGCTATCTGCCTGGGAGATTCCTTGGCAGGGGGGAGTTGGAGGGCCACATGGTGACGGCCCTCCCAGGTTTCGGTGAGCTGGGCCTCCACAGTCCTTACTAACTAGGTCACTGCACCAGCCTCGCGTGGGGCCCATGCCATTCCCCGCCCAGAGGACCCAGGACCAGGGCTCTGGGAACACTCCCTGGCCCCCTGCCCACAGCTCTGACCTCCTGCCCTGGACAGTCTAACTCCAGCTACCCTTACTGGCCGCCCCACCCCTGGAAGGTGCTCCGGCTTTGCCCTCTGGCTACAGTCTGTGGCCTTTCCTTTGTAGAAAAGTTTGAAAAGTGAAGCAGGTTTTGGACTCAGACTGAGGCTCCATCCAGTCAGGCCCAGGGGCAGCCTCCCTCCTCACAGGCTCAGCCTTGCCTCTGTCCCTCCCTCCATCCCTGCTCTGGTTCCCACCCAGCCTCCCACAGAAGGGCGGGGTGGGGGGAAGGTGTGCAGCCCTGCAGCCCCTGGGAAAAGATCTGCTTGGTTTTGGTTGTATGAGTGTCTAGGGTTTTTTCTGTGTTTTTTTTTCTTTCCAAGTTTCGGTTTCAAACTGGGGCTCACACACTCTCTGGAGCAAAATCTAACTCTCAGCAGAGGGCAGGCTCTGCTTTGCCCAGACAAGCCTAGCCCTATTTCTTCTTCGGTGCCAGTGCCCACACCCCCTGGCTGCAGCCCCACCTGCAGCCTCCCTTATAGATCCCACCACAGGCTGGGCTGAGGGGCTAGGAAATGCCTTTGTGTATGTTTTGGGGTGTGAGGAGGTAATGCATACAAGGACGCCCCAGCCCCCAGCCCCTCTGGCTGAGTAGCAAGTCTTTCCCTTAAGCCCAGCTAGCTATTTAAACCATAATTATAATAACCTCCATGTGTGGGGCACTTCCTACTAACTCCCAGGCATCATCTCATTGACTCTTTGAGTTTGGTATGATTATTTCTATTTCTACAGAGGAGGAAACTGAGGTTCTGAGTAGTCCCAGGCTCACAGAGTTAGTGACTGGCAGAAGGAATCCCGGGCTGTCTAAAGCCTGTGCACACACCCACTATTTTATCTTGCCTCCTGCTGTTCCTCTAACCGCTAAGCCAAGTGCAAATAAAGGCTGTGGCCAGGCCAGCCCCATAGCCCAGGGCATCACTCAGAGGCACCCCACACCCCATCCACACCCCCAACCATGGAAACCTCAGGCCTAGGATGGAGATGTCTAAATTAGAAGAGTCCCCAAAAAACCTCTTGGGAGAGGCCAGTCTCCTTTGCCACCTCCCACAGAGGAAAAAGAAATTCTAGTCAGTGGCCTAGTTTATTTTCATTAGAACCCTCCCGAAGTCCTCTGGACAAAGGTAGATACAATCAGCTTTACAAGCACCACTGAATGCTTGAAAGATTAACAAATACATTGTTTTTGCTGGCAGCTGGCCAGGGGGTTCATGCGAACCAGGACCGAAGACAGCTAGAAGCTGGCAAGTGACAAGAGGCCCTGGAACAGCGGTTCCTGACAAGCCCCTGCCTCTGGGGCCTAGTTGTCGTTGACCTCTGAGGGGATGGGGTCCGTGGGCCTGTCTGCGATCCCATGTGCACAGGCGTGCACCTGGGCCCACTGGGAGGCCCTGCCTGGGAAAGGGAGGGAGGCAGTCTTCAAGTTCATGCACGTAGGCACTTACACAGTGCCTGGCACCTAGACGCACCCAATAAATGCCACTGTATGAAATAAACAAAACCCGGCCGCTGACAAGGTGCCCCCCAACTCTGCCCCAGCCCTGGTATCCCGCAGCCCCAGGACAAAGATCCTTCTGTGCAATGAAGGAATTGCAAACAGGACCCGGGGAAGCTGGAGACTATAATTAGACACTGGCAGTCAGCGCTCCAGCCTCCGAGCCTGAGCCCAGACCTCCTGCCAGAAAGCAGCAGCTGCTTGGTGCTGCTGCAGAGACAGCTAAATGTGGGCAGTAGGCTTTGGCGCACCACTGTTTCCATTGCCCTGCCCGACCTGGGGATGGAGGGAGGGGACAAGGCAAGTGCCTCCCCTGTGGGGTCTTTAGGAAAGCAGATGGCTACCTGCCTGGAAGTGTGGTCTGGGGTTCTCACCCCTCACACACACACTCCTGCCCCACTTAAAGCAATCTTGCCCTCATCTGAACTGTGCCCCCAGCCCTGAATTTTGCCT